AATTGATTTCAAGACGGCTATACTTCATCTTCCATCCACCTCAAGTAAAGGGCCTCTTCTCCGCTTCTTCAACAATCAGGGATCGTTACAAAGTGATGGAAGGGGCATAGTCCAGGCTGTTCTCGACTCTATATGAAGTTAACACCAAGATTAATGATGCTGGCGGGGGTTTTACCAAAATGAATTAATCAGAACTCGGCAGCTGCAAGCCATACAACTAGCTGTCATATCTCACCCCTACAGCTTTGGGTGTAATGACCTTCGCTATGTCACTTGACAGCAATCAACATGCACAATGTCTACATTGTACTTGTACCCATGCACAACAACTCAATTTATGAACTTTTCATTTTTATTCATTCCCATAATTATACCATTTATTATGTTTGCCTGATCTTGCAACAATGTACGCAGACCTGGCCGTCGATGGAGTATTACTATGGGGGGGGGGGGGGGGCGGTGGGATAATATTTGCTAATAAGTCATCCGAAAATCTGATCAAGCTAAAAGAATTTCGAAGGGTTCTCAGACCGTTTCAATTCGCCAGCGAGACTAAATTAAATTGTTGTGAAGGAATTCAAAACAATAACATAAGAACACAGTAAAAAATGATGGAGTGGCCGAATTTAATAACTTTTCTCACGCATGTACGTATGTAAAGAATAATGACCGATCATTACTATCTCTGTATCAGTATAGTAACTATTGGAGATCAGAAAAGGAGAATAAAGGAGAGGATGTTATAAGTAGAGCTAAGCGAGGCAACTGCCGAGGTAAATGTCCCATTGGTAAGTAAACAAGATTGGCGATTATTTCCGATTCTAGGCCGTTCGTTTGGACCTGTCACTCAACCAACAAATCAATGGGGTTTCTCAGGGAGCCAATGCTCAGAGGAAGTCGAAATGGCAGGAACAAAATTATATCGTTTTATAGAGCCATGAAATCATTTTCATAAAGACGACTGAGATGGGGGTGAGGGGGGGGGGGGGGTGGCGAAAGTAGGGGAAGAGTGAGAGAGTTATGAGCTCGGGTCGACATTGTCAAATTTGGAATAGGGCCATTTTAGCGCGATATGATTTATGTCTGCGACTGGTGCCTGCCGAGCGTGCAGACCATGAAATAAATGGCAAACACGTTTAGTTGTCTCATATAAACATGATTTATTCCTACTTTAGACGACCACTTCAATTACCATGGAGAACTTGGTTTCTTCGGGTTATGACCTCGGAAGTAATTTCCGACATATTTGAGTTGATACGCGAATGAAGAAAAAAAAAAGGTTGGTTGTCGAACGATGAAGGATGTGGCGAATAGCTGCCAGGCCGATTTCGTCCTCATACCCCCATAATCCATGTCAGCAAATATACTGGACGTTATATCATTAAACAATTATGAACATTATCCTCTTTCACCCATGTACAGACATTCCGCTAAATTACATGGATATATAAATGTTCGTTTTCACACATGATATATTCTCTAGAGTAATATACCGAGTAACAAACATGACAGCGGGAACAGCATGAAATTGGTGCTCAAGGTATTTTGATTTGTTGTTGACGTCGGAGGTTTGAAATTCTCATAAATAACAAATCACAAACAAAAACTCTTGCGAAAACAGATCTTATTACTCTCATCGATACTTTCATTTTTACCGGATGTTATTTTACGGTGATACCATCTCACTCGGTAAGATTTTTATCGTGCATGAAACAATAAAAAAAGCTTTAAAAATATACCGTTTTCCTTTTTTTTTAAACTTCAGGTATAGAAAGTAAACTTTTGAGATTGCCCCAGTTGATATCAAACGATTCTAATTATTCACTGTCATGATCTGTGGATTGGAAACATTAATATTTCACGGCATCATAACAGGTACAGACAAAATATAATGCAAAAATGCCTTCCAAAATAGTTTTTCATAAAAATTAAAATAAATCGCAATGAAAAATGGAGAATCATTTTAAAGTGGAAGTCTTCATCATTTATCAAATAATCTATCTTTTTTTTCCGAAATGGAATATTTTTCAAGAAATGAAATAAAACAAATGTTACTTTGAAATAATACTAAACATAATGCGGAGTTACTAATATGCATGCTGTAGCAATTAAACCTAGTATTCTATTCTGACCAATCTTCACTCGTGGGGTCCTCCTATATTAAACCTTCAGATAAATTGGTGTAGAACTTTAATGCCATTATCTTAATTAGTTGGAGTAAATTATCCTGCGCATGTTCTACTCACTCCACTCTCTGACCTTCATTCACCAATCTCATTATAACATGACCCCTTGTATAGTTTGGTTAGCTGACAGTCTATTATTGGTTCAATTTACCTCATGCTTTTGGTTTTAATAAATATGTTATCTTCTTTAAGTGTATAAATGGGGGCGTCGAGGGTGTGATGTTGAGAAAAAAAAAGTTGCCGACAAGTTTTGTGAACTATTTCCATTAATAAATCTGATCCTCTCCAGCCCCCAGGTTTCTAGAGCTGCTGACACGAGCTATGAAAATGTATACTGGTAACAACGACAATATCGATAAGGAACAAAAAAAATTTTTTTTGTGGATGATATAAAGATTGTCACCCCTCCTAGAGATGCCCCTACATGAGCTAAATATTCTAGACGTAATCAGAGTGCCTATGGAAGTACGGATATTTAGAAGTGAGGATATTTTAGGGGAAAAAGAAAAGAACATTGGCATTCTAAAATTCTGAATTCAAAGTCTAGTTATAAATAGTCGTTGATATACATTCTTAAAGAATATGATCATCAAATACCACGCAGGATACGGCACGGGGGAGTTGTAGAATCTTAGGGAACTGTGCCATAATCCAATTTAGTCAGGTTTTTTTTAAACTTCCAAAATATAATTGATCCTTTATTTGTCTCTACTGCCCATCTTTTCCTCATCAATTTATTGAGGTTTGCTTATTATATTTCTTTTTAACGAGTTCTGTCGATGGGAGGATACGAGAGACTTGGGGACAGATTCAGCAAAGTGGATAGGTAAGAAGTGAAATGTTTTCACGAGGCGTATTAGTGTTCGACTTTTGATAGTTAGTGGGAGGGTGTTTTTTATTGTTAAAAGAGGCTCTCTGGCTCGCAGCCCTCTGCCTTCTGGTGCATTTAATGATACTGACATAGAATGAAATGTAATGAGTAAAATGTTATTGAAAGTGGGGCATTTATCATGATCCATCATCCTTTGAGGTTGTTGGTGTGTAACTGCCACTCACTCGCTGCTGACAAGCGGGTTTGTCCGTCACACGGCTTGCTCCGTTAATTAGTGCCGACATCTCCCCGTGCAAACGACCCGAGACGTGGCCATTTATCACCTGCCTATCAGTATATCAGCCTTGAATGCTCCCGTTATCGCGATCGGGTGAAACATATAGCGATGGCGTAGCCCCTTGTCTGAGGGTTGGGAGGGGGCTGAAACCCCCCGACGGGTTCATCTTATCACCTGCCTGTCAGTAAATTAGCCTTGGTTGTCACAGTTATCACCCCTATCGCGTTTGGAGTGAAACTTATAGCGATGGCGTAGCCCCGTGTCTGCAGGTTGGGAAGGGGCTGGCCCACAGAAGCGTTTTATTTTATCACCCGCCTGTCAGTAAATTAGCCTTGATTGTCGCAGTTACCACCCCGACCGCATTAGGGGTGAAACTTATAGCGATGGCGTATTAGCCCCTTGTTTGAAGTTAAGGAGGGGGTTGACACCCCAAGCTTCCATGTTATCACCTGTCTATCATATTAACCTCGAATGTTTGATTTTTCTTTTTAAAAGTACTTTTGATGACCAAATGCCCACCATCTTCGCTCGAAGGGTACCCCTTTCTCTGATATAAAGTATAAGCCCAAATATTACATCAAGTTCTGAACAGTATGAGAAAAGAACCATGCAAATTCTGACTTCATTCTCATTTTTCATTTCTGCATAAACTTAAATTGTATCCAAGATTTCTTAATAAGTGAAATTCTCACATTCCATCTTATTCATTTCATTAATTTAAAGATAAATAATACATGCACCAATAAAGTTTCAAAATTGACCTTAAGATTTCATATGATCAAAATATCACCTACAAATTTGCTGGGTACGAAATTGTTTATGTCATCTCAACCTGTTGCTAGTTTAATCCCTTACTTCCCAAAATCTTGAACGAAAGTTTAGAAGAAAGAGTATTTTTAAAATTCATATTTAATATTGATATGCAATGTCTTTGGTCCTTTGTGACTCGAATGGCTTTCTTCTCCCACTTCCTTAGTCATTATCAACCTCATTTGATGACGCACTTGTTTGTTGTTTTTCAGCTGAAATGACAGGTTTCTGCGGTAAATTAGTTCCGTTGCCATAGCAACATGACCAACTAAAAGCAGCCTAGTGGTTAACAAAAACTTGGAAATCATAGGCAGAAGAACAATAACACGAATGAAATATTTAATGAATTTGTTAAAAACAAAAATGATATAAAATGAAATCAGAGTCACAAATGGCAGTTTTGATGTACGACAAAAAGAACCCTCGCCTGTCTATCAAAAGCTAGTAAGATAATGTGTTTATATGGGGTTTTCTTCGTCACTTCTAAGGCCTTCTCTTTGTCAAAGTTAAGTAAGCTCCCCTCCTACTTTAATCTGCTCCGGATAACAATCAGGTTCTCTGGTTCTAACTAGCCGTGTTATCAATCTGCCGTGGGGCTATCAGTAAACCCCAGCTAATTTCAAGTCACAAGGCCGCGCAAAACAAATTAATTATATCATATTAACGGATACTGTAGAGTGTCACGTGTAACTCGATACCGACAATTAAATCCAAGTTGTCAAGCCCAAGGCTATGCCCATGGTGTCTCACCTTAGCTCACCTGGCTCTCCGGCCTGGTCTCATACTGGGCCGCCCCTCCACGCCCCCTTCTCTATCAAACAAACTCTCCATTGTACCTGCGGGACTACCATCAGACAAGCCGCCTGAGTTGGAGCTATTTCATACGTCAGGAAAATCTTTTGTATACAGATTTTTATGAGCATCCGTTAAATTATGAATTGATTATGACTTGGGGTTTTGTCGGCGGGGTGACGATTTGTTGGTTCGTGAAATATCTCGGAACGCAGCGGCTGAAATTCAATGTGTCATTGCGACACCAGCGTGCCGCAGGGTGTGAACCAATGTATGTATTTATCTCAGGGTGTTGTTCACCTCCGAGTCTGGCTGGCTGGCCCCGCCTAGGACGAGTAATCGACGCGTCCTGGAAGAAGCCGTCGGTGATTGGCCAGAGCAAGCTGGAAAAAGTAGTGCTTAATTGTATTTTGGACCAATGGGGATGGCGATTGGCCAATTAGCATGACAAACGACAGTGGTGACAGGTAAGCAGACAAGTAGTGGCACGCGGTGAGAACCTCAGGGGGCTAAACCTTCTGATTATCTCGTTAGATGCCTCTCTTATGACTGGCCCAACTATTTCCACACTTCCATACATATTTGATTCGGGAAAATCTTACCCATATGACGACCATATTTCAATTTCTGCGTGACTGGCTCAGTTGTTAGCGTTCCTGCCAGCTACTTATTGATACAGCAACCACTTCCCTCGATGGACTACCTCAGCGTACCAAACTGGCAGAACCATTACTAGAAACTCAGACTTCACTTTGGATACAGACAAGTCAACAAACTTGCTAAGAGAGAGCTACATCGTCGAAATACTTCCAACCAAATCGAAACCAAAAGAAGTGCGGCTTACTCAAGATGACTTCAACCATGAATGATCTCTACACCCCGCTACAGCGGTTGTCGACCGCCCCTCTCCGGCAGCCTCGGAGCCAGACAACCAGACCTTACACATCGTTCTACATCAAAGACATACTGGGATCACAGATCAGTACCAATGATAACAACACCGAGAGTTCATCCCCGACTCATTTTAGGAGGAGGGAGTCCTGGTCGGGCCCGCCATCGGTACCACGCCCGAGGCTAGGGCATCAGAGATCGACTGAGGAGGTGAAAACAGTCAAACAGACCAGGGAGAATGGAGATTCGCCCCTCAGTGCTCTTGAAGAGCTTGCTAACAAGACGTTCACGGGCCCGGATACCAGTATACTACGAGCCGCTGAAGGTAAGAAAGTGTTTTCAATTATTTTAAACAATACAGTTTGAATGAAGGGTAAGAATACTGTATATGATGTACATACATGTTTATGTCATAACCAAAGCTGCCATATGATAGCACAGTACGAAAACAAATCAATATTCTGAAACTGGAAAGACAAAGTAATTTGTCAAGTTTCAAAACACTTTCAGGCCTTAAAAATAATTATTAATCCATACAGAAAACAGTTATTGTTTCGAAACAAATCGGTATATTTTCATGAGAAACCGTATTTCTATTAACTGACGGTATTTAATCTTTTCAATTATTACAATAGTTTTTATCTTATAATAATAATAATAAATTTAACTTATATAGCGCGAAAAGCACTCTGTCGAGTGCACAAAACACTTAAAAAAAGAAAGAAAGTAAAAGCAAACAGGACCATATTACAACGCTTCAGTATCACAGTCACTTCAGTATCCTCATGTAACTGTACCCAGCTTTAAAAACAATCTGTTACAGATCATTTTCCACATTTTTTAATAGGAAATAAATATAGCTTATTACAAATACTAAAACTTACATGTATAATGGGAAAAACAGAAATATATTACGATATACTTTGTTCACATTGTTTTCCATGCTATCATGACTATTCTCAGTCAATTTAGAGCCATCACAATTTGATGAAACCAATGCAGTCTATTTCCCTGCTTATCTTTTTGATTTTAGTTAAATAGTGTAAAATATACTATATAAATCATTCTTAATTAAATACACTTACAACTTTGTCTCTTATAGTCATACTCGTGCAATTCACGACAGAACAATGGCTTAGCAATATATCTAAATATTATATATACATGAATGTAAAAACAAAGAACATAAAATATGACCCGTTATTAATATTTATATATATATATAAACTAAAATGAAATACAACTAAACTAAACCGTGAGAGCGTTGAGTCCTAGATATTTTAAAACGAATCTAAAAGTATCGTTTATGATATTTTCTTTCTCATTCAAGAGAGATATATTGGTATAAAACTAGTTCTTCGTGGCATCCAAATAAATACACAATATAAAACTCATTTTAATATCCTTCATATAATCAAATTGATGTCTTAAGGATAACCCTCAATAATTGATATTGTAAAATTTATTTAACCTTTAATTTATTTCGCAAATATCAAACAAATTTGGATAGAAAAACAAGATTTGTTGTTGTTGTAATTCTACATCCCTTTTAATCCGATTGAAATATTCAAAGTAAAAACTATACCATGTATAACCCCCTATATGGCTTCTTTAATTTGCAAAAACTTAAACAAAGCATGACCTCATTGTTATATCTTTAAAAAAGCTCGAAAGTAGTATGGGGTGCTCCTCTCATCCTCCGTAGGACTTACTAATCCCATATGGTATAACTATCGAAAAAATTGTTTTGTTTAGCGTAATTTTATAATATTGTAAAGCATGCGCTTTTAAACTTAACAAGATTATAAGAGGAGTGGAGTTGCCCGCGTCTCGTCCTTCGTACGACCCCGAGCTCTCGGCTCGGAGAATCGCTTCTGCAACCGCGTGTAATTAATAGAGCTACGCAGGAAATTGCCCTAATGTTCCGCGTGTAAATACTACAAGCAAGGCGCTAAGTTGGGTTTGTCCATGGGGAGATGTAGTACAAATGAGATAATTTGGAACAATTATAGGATTGTCTTGTCCCTGGCAGAGAAAAAAAAGCGTGAGTCTGAGTAACAAAAGTTCATGCTATCGGCCAAACATGTAACTAGGGAAATAGATTCACAGGTTGACCAGAGACCTGGAAACTTCAACATAAATTAGTGTTGATTTTCGGGGTAAAAGAGTTTGTGTTATTAACAAAATTGATATACCAAACGCTTTACAAATCTTGTCACAAAGATTTAAAATGGAGAATACGTTACCAGGATTACAAGAATGTTTATATTACGGACAGGGTGAAATATAAACAAATGAATATATTGATATTCAGCTTTTAGACACGCATAGTTCTTTTTCGGCCCTTTTAAAAATAATAATTACAATAGATGATTGAAATTACAACTGAAAATATTACATAAAGATGGCTGACTCATATCATATGAGTTCGTGCAATTGCATTTAAAAACAACTATTGATTAAGACAAGGCTTTCAATTAAAATGATGAATTACAAGGTACAAGATCATATCACAATTTTTCTCCTTAAGCCCTTTATTAATAAAGCTTTCAACTTATTGTTTGTATTTCAATATTTTAATGCATCTCTTTAGATGATAGTGTATTTGTTTCTTAAAATGAGGAGGTTTGCCTGGTGTAGTCTGTGACATTGTTATTTGAATATTGATTTGATTTGAATATGATTCTATGTTTTCGTTCATCGGATCACCATGCAAAAACATATTTCTTTAAAGATCATTCAATGAAATATGAATTTCAGATGTATGGAAAACATTTATGAGGACTTTCCTTATATTGGTTAGTATGGCCAAAATAATTATACGGCATAATCATTGATATTTCATTAGCGAACTCGGTGAGTGGTGCTTGAATTTAATATTAGACCAAAGATATTTATTTCAACTGTTTAACAGTATAGTTTGTTTTTTCTGTAATGTATATATATATATAAATATTGTATTTATATAAGACTATCATATGACACGGAAAGAAAGTTTAAGATTGTTTCTCCTCGTACTTTATATCAATGTTTATCATACTTTTCTTGTTTTACATTTCCAGCAGCTACGACAACGAACAAGCGGGAAGCTATCTCACTTATGAACCGCCAGCAGCCGCGTAAGAAGAGGAAATCCCGCACCGCCTTCTCCAACCACCAAATCTTCGAACTGGAACGTCGATTCCTCTACCAAAAATACCTTACCCCTGCCGATCGCGATGAACTCTCCTCGACACTCGGTCTCACCAACGCCCAGGTCATCACGTGGTTTCAGAACAGGAGGGCGAAGCTCAAACGCGACATCGATGAGCTGAAAAACGATGTCCGCGCGACGTCAACCAGCCCTACCCCTACCCACAAAGACGATAAGGGTTACCTGACCACCGAGTCCCCGATGTACGAAGATGGCGAGTTTTACACTGAAGACTCGTCGTCGGAGCTGATGTCGCCGATCGACTCGCGGCAGATTGGAGGAGGTTGCGATGGAAACGATGGCGGGGACGAACACGATAAGATGAGCGTTCATTACGTTGATTCGGACAACGAGGAAGACACGAGCATGTCGATCTCCAAATTGTCTCCTTCTCCCGCCGACATCGATCTGGATGACCGGGACGTCGATCATGATAAGAACAGAGGACAAAGAACGGATTAATAGGAGAACGAGACACTCGGTGCCTAATGTACTAAAGCCAAATTAAGACACATTTATCTTTGCTATATACGTCCTTTGAAAATGATATAATCGGCAGGTACGATTTATAATCAATTGCAGACAAGGCAATTATACATTGATTGGACAGCGTCTGGCTGTCATAAACAAGTTCTTATTTCACTGATGTACAGCATGGCCTAGCTGCTATACAATGATAAAAGTATACCCCTTCACGATGCAAAGATTCCGCAGGAACAACTGTCTGCCTTTCGAAGGATCATCTTCATTAGTTTTTTTTGTCTACTCGTGTTTCTAATAGAACAGGCATCTTGCTGGGTTGTCTGACTGTTAGGGCTCAGCTGCCCTACCCCAAGCCAGCCACCCCCGGTACGATGGGTTCCGGCAGGAGTGGGTACATTTCGGAAGTGGAATTTTCAGACTGACATATGTCTTGGGGCACACCGTTTGCTCTCTCAGATATTTATAAGGATTTTTAAAAACTTTGTTCAAAGATCTACCTACTCATGTGTCTGGGATGTCACATATTTTTGGCATGAGGTGATTTTCTGAGTCATACTCCTGTAATTATGTTCCTGGTATGAATAAGGCATGCCTTTCAGTACAAATATCCTAAAGATTATTTTCCCTTATATCATTGTACATTAACTCAAAGTGCCATATCAAAATATTGTTTAAAAGTAATATTGTTATAATTAAAGTGCCCACAATGATTGGTTATTGTGTAACGTAATGATAAAACAATCAATATCTTACCAAAGAGAGATAATGCTCTGACCTATTTTAAAGGAAATAGCTACACATATTTTGACAAATTATGATAAATCATATGAACGTTGTATCTAGCATTAAACAAGCTTCATCCATTACAGTATCTCTCGTCGATGGGAATTTAACTTTAAAAATTTCTTACAAAAACAATTTTGTGTTCAAAATCAATGAACAAATCATGGTTACACATTTTGTAGATAGTATAACTTTATATTTGTTATGCATGAAATCCTATTCCGGGTATTACCGTCCAACCGATCAACGCATTTAATGATTATAAAAACACCAATGGCATGCGATTTAGTAGAATACTCCGATCAGATGAAGTGTCTGCTTAAACATTTTATAACAAAATCAGGATAGCACTTCATATCAGTTTTCATGCTTCAAAAAGTTTTTTTTAATTTTTTTTTATCTTCTATTGCATTGGTGTTTCGATACGCCTAATCAATTTACTCTATCTTTGGTAAAGTTTTTACGACATTATCCGGCTTACTCCTTGGGATTAGATATTGAGAGCAGTTTAATTCCCCCAAAAATATTCTCATCCATTGTCTATTTGTTGAGGTATAAAAGGAATACAATTGACAAAACACATGCAAATTCATAGCGCTGTATTATTTTTGATACGATTAATTTGGCATTGAAGTTATTGCACACCTTTAATAATTTTGTTGACACCTTGATCTGAAAGATCACCATGAAAGTATTGATAAACTGCTAACAGCAATGTATGATGTACTTTTACACTTAGACAGAAGATTGTAAAGAAGACAACATAAATGTATAAATTGTAATTATATTTATCAGATTACTTTGAAAGAAATCAATCGTGCTTCCTATTTGATGTTGAAAATAAATATCTTTGTAAAAATCACATACTTTTTTCATTTGTATATATTTGCAAGGAGATCGAATAAGGAAGAGGGAGACAATGTTTGACGGGAGATCAAGATTGAGAGAGAGAGAGAGAGAAAGAGGGAGAGGGCAGAGTAAGACAAACAGAGAATGATAGGGATAGAGAGGGGTGTCAGACTGGAAGAGAGAGATAGTGAGAGGGGGGGGGGGGGAGACAGAGAGGGAAAGAGAGGGAGAGGGGAGAGAGAGAGAGAGGATAAGTACAGGGAGGGGGAGACCGGAGAGGGGGCGGAGTAAGACAAACAGAGAATGTGAGAGAGAGTGAGAGAGTCAGACAGACAGAGAGACAGACAGAGAGAGGGAGAGAGAGAGCGAGCAATTGTGTATGGGCCTGTAAGACGTGTGAAATGAGGATAATCATATGTACACATAATCTCTCAGTGGGGATACACTGGCAACTGTGGATATCCCCAGTTGATAACTTTCTTATTTTTTGCTAATTTCGGTAAAAGTGACCAAAGAGGATTCAACTACCCATTGCCTGCTAGAGTCTCAAGACATCCACATTTTCATAGTAAGACGCCAACTGGGGATATATATCTTTAACCAGATAGTTAAAGATATATATCCCCAGTTGGCAGGTTTTACCTGTATGTGTGGGCGAGCACGAGCGTGGTGCGTAGAGGGAAATAAAATAATAAATCATAATTTTTATTTGCTAGTTTCTTTGCATAAGGTAGATTTTCAATGAGAATAACATTGATACAGCCTTAAGATTAAAAACAAACAAACAAGAAATATAGATAGGCTATGAGCAAGAAAATTGATTTTAGTGAACATCCATGAGATTATAACCGCCCAATTTTAATACTGCTTCCCAAATTTATTGAATACGGAGGAGTACTCTTTTGATAAAGAAGAGTGGTAATCCATTTTTTGAGGAGTCATTTTTAATTATTTTTTTTTACCTAAATGGTAAGAAAGCATGTGTTTGCTTGAAAGTAATTAATCAGGGGACCGAATGCTTTAAGTCCTCTCCAGGGGACTTGGAAATGAGGATCAATACCTTGCTAACGTGCATCCACTTGGTTTCGAAACCGGGGCCTCCTGGTTACGAGACCACTGCTCTACCACTGAGCATTCGCGCCTCCTCCGGGGGGTGGAATCCACCTCCAAATAGTGACCACCCTAAGATTGAGGTTGAATTACTCTTTTGTGAGTGGATTATACTTTTCTTTCTTTTTAGCAGGGATTCCATATCAAACGAAATAATCCTGAATACCACTCACCAATATTGATTTTCTCTTCTTTAATTAAGATTTATAAGTCCGAAAGAGGAGATAGATATTAGAACAAAGTATTCTACAATCACAATATTATGCTAAGAAATGATTGCGCTCATAATCCATAAGTCAAGCCCAAGAGACGAAATTGCTGTATGTAGACGCATAAAAGACAATAGGGACTTTTAGATTTGCGTGGACTGATACGTGTGACGTCCATTCAAGGCAGTGCATTAAAAGGACGTCGATCATAGCAATCCCCATTGTCTTCGTGTGAATCTAAAAGCCCCTAATATCTCAGACAACTAGACGAATTAATATCGCAAATTCAGATATAAAGAGTACTCGAACAAACTGATTACGTTTATTTTATTGAACTTAAGCTTCATCATTGCATAATAATTATATTTGTCTTCTGTTTTCAAGAAATATTAGGAATTTAGATATTAAACGAATGAACCGAATGTCGCTCTTCCGTATATATCCCTGCCATGAATTCCACTCTATGGTATACTACATAACACAACATTAATATCATGGAATTCTTTTTATATTCCTTTCAACCCTTTCGGTTCCCTTCCACCCCTTTTTTTTTTTTTGGGGGGGGGGGGGGGGTAACTCTCACGTCATTGACGGTCATAACTGGCTATCTGCCTTCTTTGTTGTGTCAGCCATTGTTACAGCTAACTATACAATGTATGTCGTCACTTCTGGACTGCAAATGCTTTTCAAGTGTTATTTATAGACAAATTACATGTCTACATGTCGGCATTATTTTCACCTTTTTGTATTCATATTTTTTTCTTCTTTCAGACGAACTTTAAACAAAAAATTGATGATGGTTGAGCATTTGTCTTTGAGTCACATAGGGCGTTGTAGTCTATGACTGTGTCACCACTCGTTTTGAACGTCTTCATCAAGTAGATCATCGCATCACAAACGAGCTCGCCGACTCCAGCCAGTCCGTGCGATGATATCCCCGCTAATTACATCACACATGTACAACAGCGACACACACACAAAAAGTGGGCGGAGGAGTTGCCTGACAATATCCTATTAGCAGTGCACAGTAGCTGCCGTGTTACGCTAAATGACTGTGACGTGTTACTCAATGGCGTGTCACAGACATTCTAACGAAGCAGTGCGCGCTATCATTTTCACCTCATTATCATTAATAGGGCGACGCCTATAGACCGTACGCGCAAAGTCAACATTATTTGGACCGCGCATTGCATGACGGAAGTCGACCTTACTTTTATTTTTCGTAAAGGTCACTTTAATAATTGTATTAGGATAGCATCATCATTATATATAGGGTTTATACGCTTAGTTATGAGCGGTTTATTGCTGCCCGCAAATTTCAAATTAGGAAGTAATGAGGCATAACCATTTTGGCATAATTGCACGAAGTACACTGACGAAAGTGAAATGGAGTGACCTGCTTGGATCTGACAACCGCTATCGCCCTTTTTTGAGGAGATGGATAGTAAAGATTTCACACTTCGTGTGGTGCTAGATAATGCCTTCATCATTTTTTGTCAGAAGGGGAAGGAAAGAGATGAGTAAAGTCTCACGGAGAGAGAAAATAAAAGAATATTGGAAGAGAAAAATAGAGATAGAGAGAGAGAGAACTCGCGTTACACACAAATAGAATGGTATAATGTTAGGAGGGGACTTTTGAAAGAGGTGGGGGCCAACATCTTTCCTTGTATTAAAAAAACCGTAATGATTCTTTTATCTTAACAAAACTCTCTTCAACAGCGATAAACTTCTTCATGTTGCTACGCCCCTATGTATACAGCGATCAAAATCAAAGATGGGAGGCAACAACCGACCTCGATGATAAAGAGAGACTAGTGAGCGGATGAATCATCCCTTTACTCGTTACATGATCATGTCATATCATGCATGACGAGCTGCGTCAAATGTTTCAATTAACATCAACTATGTGCGATGAGGGCGAGAGGAGGGATTCCTTCCCAGCGATCTCTATTGGTGAATTACCGTTTGGTCTTCAAACCAGTTCATCTGCTACCCAATTAGTCTATACCCATGTGGTCTACACCCAGCCCGTCTACTATCCATATGGTCTAATAATCATTTCATCTTCTTGGTCTATAACCCCCCCCCACACACACACACACACACAATTAAAAAAAAAAATATTTTCATCATCATTATTATTATTATTGTTAACTTTATCATTACTATTTTTATCATCATTATCATCTCTATTAGTATTATTACTATTATTATCATTAATATTATCACCATCAAAATTATCAAATTATACATACATTTTACGCAATAAAATGTATAATTCCTTTTATATAACTCTAAAAAGTTTCTTTTATTAACTTACATCTACGCTTGCATTGGCCTCGAAATCCTCTTTTCCCTCAGCGTTGAGTGAAGAAAAAGAACAATCCTTTTCACAGCTGTGTATCTTTGCCCGAGGCAAAATCTGAATAAGGCTATGTGCTATTTTTTGGCTAACAAAGATAACTCCCCCTCAGGGATAATCATTCCGAAAACTGGGGTAACAAGGGGGAGATGCCCCTTCATAGATGTGCAGGTCACGTATATTCCCAGAAGCATGAAGTCTCACCCACGACTATCAACTTTACAGTTTGCACATTTTGAAAAACATCTGACATTCTATCATTGATTAATTTAGTCATAAAAAAATACCTCTCCCTTTTTATTATGACTTCAGTATGTATTACCAAAATCCATTGCAAATTTGCTTATACTTAGAGAAACCTATTTCGAGAGTGTTGTTATGCATTTGAATATCTATTAAAATTAGAGATTTATAGACTCTCATTTTTAATAACAATTATTGCCAATTTACAAATATTAATACATTTGTCGACACTAATTGTACTGTTCCCGCTTCTAACTTCTAACCTTCATTACCTGCTGTTTTAAATTTCAATCATATAATTACAAATCATGGATAAATGTGCTGATGAAGATTTGCCTAGAGTTTTTCGAAAAGCTAAAATAATGTTTTTCCTCTCTTTTTAGCCTTGTTTCCCGTCATTGTTAATCGACACTGTCTTGTGTTCCCCAGGAGGGTGTAAGGGGAGCGAACATTCACCCCTAACATTGGAGCACGAGGGATGATCTACTGGGCATGTTTAACACTCGGTATCATCATTTTCTTGGTAATGCCTCCAATACCCTTCATGTCGTACTATGTATGAATGAGCATTTTCATACGAAACATCATTATTTAAAGATGTTTTACTAGATCATAGTAGGAGGTCGTAGGCCTGAAGAAATGCTTTTCCATAGGGAGAATATTGAAACAATTTAAAGCCTTGTCTCTTTTGTTCCGTTGTGACATCATGTTTGACTTCATAATTGAGACAGTGATGATGTTCATTCATACAAATGCTCTTCAACTCTTTGTAGTTTTCCCTCTATATGTTTTACAACAAATTTTCAGCTTCTTTGGATTTTACTCATTTTCTATTTTTTGTTCTCGGATGTTTCTTTGTATTTCTCACTACAATTATACTAGTTTCTGAAAGATATCATGAAACCATTCTTGTTGGTTGCAATGTTAGATGTGTTACTCTTGTTGAACATAACTATAGACTTTTGATAATTTGGTTCTTCATTTTGACGTAGTTACGGGTGCCACGGAGGAAAATGCCCCTAAACTGAATGGACAAAAGACATATAATCAAGATTGAAGTGAAAAGTTGGAGAGAAAAAGGGTGAGAAG